AAATTGAAATTATGTGCTCTTGCATTATGGCAGGATAATTCTCCCATAATAATATTGCATCTGTTTTCAGTCTAACGGCTTTAGATGAATTAAATAAGCTTGCTGTAATACTTACTGTGTAATGTCGGACACCGCTTGCCATTAACAGCAAACTTGCTTATCGTCATGTCGAAGTCTGTGATGATCTGAAACATTCAGAAGCTCTTTATTTACCAGAACATATGAGGAGAGCGATTTTCATTAATGCGTTTGTAGAATCCGGCAATCCTTCAAATGAGGCGGTTCGGGTTGAAACAGGTCAGGATTTGATGCTTTACCTGCAGTTTGGAAGCTCCTCCTTTGATGAGGCCACAGATGATCTGCTCCACCCTCTCAGGGTCTCTCATGTGCACCGTGGGTTTCTCAAACTGAGGCATCTGGAGTTGCACAAAGAAAAAGAAGAAAAAGAAATGGAAATTAAGTTCAACACAGCCAGTAAATTAGTTTTTCTAGTAAGAAAGAGCATCTATGCCAAGCAGCTGCAAAAAATCTGGAATCCGCTTTATTAAAAAAACAAAAAACAAAAGAAGAGAAAAATATATTCAATTCAATTTACAATTAGAGACAATTCAATCAGATCATACAGTCAAACGGATTTAAAGTTTTCTATCTAAGGAATACCACTTTATCGTATTAACTCATTGACCAGACAGCAATCCCTCATGCAAAGCATGCTTGTAGCGACAGTGGAGAGGAAAACTCCATTTGAACAGGAATAAACCTCCAGCAGAACCAGGCTCGGTTCGAGCGGCCATCTGCAGAGGCCAACAATGAATATGAATAAATGCTTTTAAAAAATCAGATCAGGTTAATAAAATAAAAATAAAAACTTCTCTGAGAGATTTAAGAAACTTTTCTCTACACCTGACAGATCAGGAGAAAAAAAAAAACACTTTCTTTAAAATTATGCATTTTTCAAAAATAATTCATCGACAGAACATCAAGTGGTGCAAAATAAAAGTCTTAATGTTACTGAAAATGAACGTAGATATGTTTTAAAGTTTTTTTATGGTTCCAAAATCTATAAACATTTATCCCTGGTTCTGAGGCAAACTTTGACATGTCAGTATTCTGCACCAATAACAAGAGTAGGTTGAAATCATAAGATGCACCTCAGGCAGCATATCTTTTTTTTTTTTTTTTGAACATGCAAGAGAAAAACAAAACAAAAAAACAATAAAATAGTGTTTAAAACATTGGAGAGAAAAACACAAACAAGGTACCCTTCTTTACTAAGTTAATATACCTCTATTACATGTGCGAAAAGGAGTAGGAAGAAGTAAAACTTATGTACTCCTACCCCTTTAATTCTTGTATTTCTTCAATTTACAATATTTATAATTATGTTGCTATATATATCCATATAAATACATACCTACCTACACATATACATACATAAATATGCATACACATATACCTTCATACATA